GCGAAACATCTGGTATTCGATGTTATCACTATAAGAAGGAGGGTCACACAAGAAAGGTGTGCCTTGAACGCCTGAAAGATCATGGAGGTAATGGTAACACAACCATTGTTCAAGATGACTTCGACTCATCTGATGTTCTTGTGGTTTCAAGTGGCAACTCGAGAAAAAAATGGATTATGGATTTAGGTTGCACTTGGAATATGAATCCAAACAGAGAATTGTTCGAGGAGCTATGTGATCAAGATGGTGGATATGTGCTGCTGGGAAACAACAAATCTTGCAAAATTGAGATATTGGATCTGTGAGATTCAAGCTCCATGAGAGTCAATAAGGTTATTGACTGAAGCCAGGTATGTACCTGACTTGAAGAGAAATTTGATTTCTCTTGGTGAATTCGACAGAAATGGATATGTTTTTCAAGGAGAGAAAAATATCCTAAGAGTCATGAAGGGGTCGAAGGAAGTATTGAGAGGCGTGAAGAAACAAAGCTTGTATACCCTCGAGGATGAGGTTGTAAGTGGTTCGACAAATGTTGCATCCACGAAACCTGTGTCGAATACAAAATTATGGCACATGAGATTGGGCCATGTCTGCAAAAGAGGCCTGATCAAATTAGGGAAGCAGAACCTGCTAGGAGGTGACAAAGTCGAAAAGTTGGAGTTTTGTGAATCTTGTGTATCTGGTAAATCCTGTAGGGCGAAGTTTAACAAAGGCAAGCAAAGAACACATGGATCCCTGTATTACATTCATGATGATCTTTGGGGGCCTGCAAGGAATCCTTCACACTCAGGTGCAAAGTATTTTCTATCCATCGTTGATGACTATTCCAAAAATATATGGGTATTCATCCAGAAGACGAAGAATGAAACTTTTGAGAATTTCAAAAGTTGGAAGATGCTGGTCGAAACTCAAACTGGTAGAAAGGTCAAGAGGTTGAGAACCGACAATGGCCTTAAATTTTGCAACAAAATGTTCGACAGTTATTGTGTTGAGTCTAGGATTTCAAAGCATAAGACTGTAGCAGGTACTCCTCAACAAAGTTGCTTAGTTGAGAGATTTAATCGAACAATCCTTGAAAGGGTTAGATGCATGTTGGTTAGTGTTGGATTGAAGAAGGTGTTTAGGTGGAAGCTGTTTCGACAACAGCTTACCTGATAAATAGATGTCCCTCGACTACCTTGGGAATGAAGACACCTGAAGAAGTTTGGTTGGGACATCTACCTAGTCTCGACAAACTGAGAGTATTTGGATGTATGACCTATGCTTATATTAGGCAAGACAAGGTCGAACCTAGAGCTCTGAAATGCATGTTCATAGGATACCCTGAAGGAGTCAAAGCTCATAGGCTATGGTGCCTAGAGCCAGGTCACAGGAGGTGTATCACCGGTTGAGATGTAGTTTTCAATGAAGCAGAGATGGCTTTCAGGAAAACTGATAATGGTGACGAAGAGTTGGAACAGGGAGAGATTTCTATTGAGGTGGAGCATGTTGATGCTAAATTGCGTACCCCAGATGAAGTCGAAGAATACACTGAAGATGTTTTCGAAGATGAGGAGACTGATAATGACTAGCTGATAGCAAGAGACAGGTCGAGGAGAGTCATCAAGCCACCTCAGAGACTTGGGTATGCAGATCTGATAGCTTATGCCTTAATCTCTGCAAGTGAGGTTCTAGAAGAAGAACCTAGAGACTATAAGGAATTTATGAGGAGTCGAAATAAGACTGAATGGATGAAGGCCATGAATGATGAGATGAAATATCTTCATGATAACAATACCTAGAAACCGATCAAGAAACCTGTTGGAGCCAGGTTAGTTAGCTGTAAATGGATTTTCAAAGTTAAGGAAGGAATCGAAGGAGTGGCGTCGAAGAGATACAAGGCAAGATTAGTTGCTAGGGGGTTCACTCAGAAAGAAGGTGTCGACTTTAATAATGTGTTCTCTCCTGTTGTGAAGCACAAATCCATTTGCATGTTGCTTTCCACAATGACACATTTCGACCTTGAAGTAGAATAGATGGATGTGAAGACTACGTTCTTGTATGGTGATTTAGATGAAACAATCCTAATGAGGCAACCTGAAGGGTATGTCGAAAAAGGGAAGGAAGATTATGTGTGCAAGCTAAATAGATCCTTATATGGATTGAAACAATCTCCTCGACAGTGGAATATGAGATTTGACAAGTTCATGACACACATAAGTTTCATCAGAAGTCAGTTCGACCAATGTGTTTACTTCAGATTTCGATCGGGTAACTCATTTGTTATTTTGTTGCTCTATGTGGATGATATTCTAATAGCAAGCAACAATGTCGAAGATGTAATGAGGGTGAAGGCTGAACTCAATAAGGAGTTCAACATGAAGGATCTGGGAGCTGCGTCCAGGATTCTTGAGATTGACATTCGAAGAGATAGAAAGCAGTCGAAATTATGCTTATCTCAAGAGGCATACCTACGGAAGGTTCTCGAAAAGTTTGGTATGTTGAATTCAAAGTCTGTTGTGACTCCGACAAACCCACAATTTAAGCTAAGTATAGATCAGTGTCCCAGCATGGATGTTGAAAGAACTTATATGAATAACATTTCATATGCTAACATAGTAGGTTCTTTGATGTATGTTATGGTCTGTACTAGACCTGACATATCATATGCAGTAAGTCTTGTAAGAAAATACATGGAGAATCCTAGAAAGGCTCACTGGCAAGCATTGAAGTCGATTCTAAGGTACATAAATGAGTCTCGGAATAGAGTCCTAATTTATGGTGGAGCCTTGGGTGAAGATATTAAAGCAGCAATCGAAGGATATGTCGACTCTGGTTATGCAGGTTGTATGGATTCCAGATAATCTATTTCTGAATATGTGTTCACTATGTTTGGGACAACAATTAGTTAGAAAGCAACACTTTAGAAGGTCGTTGCCTTATGAACCACTAAAGCGGAATATATTTCTCTAACTGAAGCTGTGAAGGAAGCATTATGGCTTGAAGGTTTTGCAAAGGAGCTAAACCTTCAAGGTCGAGTTATCATTGTTAAATTTGATAGTCAAAGTGCAAAACACCTGTCGAAGAATTCAACCTATCATGAGCGAACCAAGCACATTGATGTGAGGCTGCATTTCGTCAGAGGGGTAATCGAGCATGGAGAAGTTCAAGTGCTAAAGGTTCTCATAGATCATAATGCTGCTGATATGATCACTAAGATGTTGCCTAGTTGTAAGTTTTTCCACTGTATGCAGTTGATAAAGCTGAATGAAGAAAGCTAGTTTCTTGATGTAATAGAGTTAGATCCAAGGTGGATATTTGTGAGATATTGGATCGAACTCTAGAATGGTCGAATGGTAGCTTCTGATTTGACAATAATTAAGCATGAGGTCGAAGTCTGTTCGCATGCTACTGTCAGAGTAATGCGTGTTGTAGTCGAAGTTTGTTCTAACATGCATTAGTAAATATTGTTAGGGTTGTTACCATATTGAATTGAGCATTTCTTGTAAGTCCAATTGTTTAAGTTAGCTTGTACCCTAAGTTAGTTTGTAATGGGTAATTGTTAAAAAACCCATTAGGTTAGTGTGCTATTTTTCTTATAAATAGGATGTTAGTTTCTCAATCTTGACATAAGGAAAAATAGGAAGATAAAATCCTAATTTCAAGAGAGAGATGTTATTTTATTATTCTTGTATACTTGAAATTTTGTTTAAAGAGTAAGAAAATAATAGCAGTTTATAACCAATCTTTGTTGTTCCTTGTTATTTTACCTTGTTATCTTTGTTAACCCTAACCCTTGTGTGTTTTTTTATCATAAAAAAACCGTTTATATTTTATTTCAAGGTATCCGATTCACAACACGACTTGACTTGGCTGTTGCTGACCCGCCGGCCACTACTGCTCGCCGATAAACAAACTCACCACCATCCCTGTCCCGACCTCACCGTCTACCACACTCGATTCTCAAACGCATTTTTAATTTTTCCGATCTTAAAACATTTTTTTTCCATCAATTAAGATTTCAAGAGATATTTAAAAAAAAATTATCTAAAAAACAAAATCCTGCAACGGTGTAGCTTGTGTGAATGTGTCATATTCATGACCTAAATAATACTTACTTGGAGACTTTCTAATTTCCATTGAGCGACTAGACGAGTTAAAGTTACTTTTTATAAAGACTTTCTGTCGTGGTAGGTTTTCGAAAGGGTTACCTTGTGGAACAAAAATCCTATGTAGGACAAATATCTGCCACAATTAAGCATGTTTCTGCTCAATAGAATTTTGAAGGCTTCCTCTATTTGGAGGCTAGCATTTGTATGATTAGTATAATAAAGATCCCTCTGAAACTTGGTTGTGATTGTGTGTGCAAAGGCCATGTTAATGCTATATATCATCAGCACCTAATGTAGGGACCTGCAGGTAGTGATTTCTTGTCTTTCTTTTTTAATCCTTAAAAAGTAACCTCACTTTATACTCACTTTATACTATTTGTACCATTTTTATTTTATATTATGGTTCACTAGCTCATCTGATAAAAATCGATATTATTAGATTTAACCGCGTAGTTATTTTTTGCTACATATAAAAAAAAACTTCTTAAAGTTGAGAAATTGACATGTAAAATCTGCAGATTCTCCAAATAAAGCAAAAACACTTCCTCCTTTTAATTTCTTTCCTCTTCTTGGAATCTCATCTACATATTCTTCAACCATAGTCTTTTTTTCTTTCTTTTGCATGCATAAAACAAACAAACAAAAGTGGCCCAAAATCTACTCATTCACCCACTCATAAAAGGTATGAAACCATGAAATCCATTCATCATAGCTTCTTTTCATCTTACCCTGTTTATCATACACATAGTCAAACCAATTTACACATCAAATCTTGTCTGAAACATCATACTTTACTTATATCATTCATATATTTTATTTACAAATCACATAGTGGCTGCAAAATAACTTTCAATATCAAAAAAATAAAAACAAAAAAACTTGAACAACTTACATAACTCTATGATATATTTATATTACGGTAGAACACTGAGAAGTCATAGGAGGGACATTCATGGAAGTTCCAATTCCAAAAGCCACAACAGAAACACAGTTAACATTAAACCTGTAACGACCAGAAACCCAAGTTCCGATTTTCCAACGAAGTTTTCCATTAACTTTAAGATTCAAAACCAATCTTCCAGAAGCTTGATCATGACCCATTTGATAACCAATGGAAGGAGCAACAGGTAAACCATTTCCTATCAAAGAAGATGACAGAAGATTGATCTCTTGTTGTCCTTGGTAAAAGGGTGGCACAAATGAATCACTGGTTATCTGTTGATTCTTGTAAGTTGCATAAACTTGAAACTCGTCGTAGTAAATGCTAACTTTTTGGTTTGGATTTTTGGAGAGGAGAGTGAGTTGGATTGATGAGTTGAGGATTGGTCCTGTGAGGTTTAGTTGATAGATCTCAAGTTCTTGAAGAGAGAATTGAGGTTTTGAAGGTTTGAGGATGAGATAGATGAGAAGTATGAGTAGGAGTATTGTGGTGAAAAATGATGAGAAAACAAACAAGATTTTCTTGTAGTTTCTATCTATTTTGAGTACTTGTTTTGTTGCACAATGTTTTGGAGATTGTATTGTGATTACAGACATTGTTTCTGTGTGAGAGAAAGAGAGATGAAGGTTGAATGGAAGGATGTTTACAACGTTAAGGAAGAGAGGGTGGGGTGGGTTATAAAGAGAGCAAAAAGCAGCAATTATTGTGTACTATATCATGCTTTTAATTAGTAGCTCTAAGCTCCCTAATGTGGAGATTAGTATGCTAATAATTCAAAGATATTAAAGTGGTAAACTGGATTATTGCTTGATGTGTAGGAATAAACTAGCATGTCACACTCACGTCTCATTAATATCATTTCAATGTTTATTTTTAAGATTTACTATGTTAAGGAACCTATTAAAAAAACTCACATTTGCCAAAATACTTTTATCTTTTGAAATATATCTGTTATCAAGTATTTTAATCATTTTTGTAGGTTTTCATTTTTAAGAAGAAAAGAAAAATGACAGAGTGTGCATAGAATTTATTTTTATTTAATGAAAAACTTATATTTGAATATAGGTAAAAATAATAAATGGATGGAAAATAGTGCCACATGATTTTAAAACCACTTATAGCGGACTTATTTAAAGTCAAAATTGTAGTATTTAATGGCATGTTTCAACACTCTTCTTTGTTTTGGAGGCTGCAAATTCTAAGTTTTTCCTTTAAAAATTTAAACATGCTAAGTGAAAATGACTTGATAAACATGTTATCAGCTTGATCTTCTGTTTTACAGTAAATCAAACTTACATCATCATTTTCTTGATTTTTTCTTAAGTAAATTATAACTAAACATTATAATGCTCGGTCTTCCCATTAAATATTGAATTTAATGAGATTGAAGTAGTTGTTTGGTTATCAACAAAAATTTATGTACTTTGCTCTTGCTTCAGTCTCAATTCTGCTAAGATATTCTTTAACCAAATAGTTTGTTTTACGCTGCTATTGCAACTTCAAACTCAATTTTTGTTGTTAAATGAGCTATTTGTTTCTTTGAACACCACTTGAACATATGTTGAAACAACACCCTAAAATACTCTTCATATCATTCAAGCTACCTTCCTAATTACTGTCTAAATAACTAAGTAACTAGAGATCTTTGAGGTTGTTGTACTTGACTTCATAATGGACAACTCCTTTTATGTATTTTAGAACTCTTTTTTTCTGCTTTCAAGTTCAATTCATTGTAACAATGTATGAATCTTGACATTAAACTCATTGAGAGTAAGATGTCGGGTCTTGTAGCTGTAAGATACCTTAGACACTTAATCAAGCTTCGGAATCTTGATCATTCTCCTTTTGATTCATAGGAGTGTTCATTATTTTGAATTCTTCAACCTGAATTTTTTTAAATCTCTTTTGCATATTTTTTTCAAAAATAAAAATCTCATTCTTACTTTGAGTGATTTCCATACCCAAAAAATAAGTCATAAGACCAATATCAATAATTTCGTAGACATCTTTCATTTCATGCTTGAATTCTTCAACTAGTGCTAAGTTGCTTTATGTTACTAAAAGATCATTAATATACAAAGAAATGATTAAAATAACAACATCAACATGTTTGACATAAAGTGAACATTCATATATGCTCTATTAAAGTCCAAGTGTAGCGAATGATCATTATTTATTTTATACCAAACTCTTAGGGCTTACTTTAAGCCATATAAAGCCTTTTTAAATGAGTATAATTTTTCTTCTCGGCCTTTGATCACAAAAGCTTCTGGTTTCTCAACATATATCTCCTTCTACAGAAAACCATTAAGGAAAGCTGACTTAACATCCATATGGAACACCTGCCACCCATTTTGTGCAATAATGATAAGTTGTATCCTCGTTGCATCGTGTTTTGCTACAGGATCAAAGGCATATGAATAATCAACTCCAAATATTTGAGAATACCCATTCACAAGAACCCTTGATTTTTGTTTGTTTACATAGGTGCTGGGGGTTAAATTTTGTTTTAAATACCCAATTCACTCCAGTGACCTTTCTATCATGAGGTCTAGGAACCAACTTTCAAGTTTGATTTTTCTCGATCATGGACAGCTCCTTCTACATTGTAGTTATTAGTTTCTCTACCATGACAACTTCTTTTAAACAGGTGGATTCAAATACAACTATGTTGCATGTTATTGCATTGCTTCTTCAATAGATATTAGAGGCTAGCCTTGTAGCACCACTACTACAAAATAGATATTTCGTAACACCATTTTTACAATGACCATATTGTTAACAATGGTAATAATTTATTTATGGGCGAATTTTTTTGGTATTTACTAGAGGACAAGTCACAACGGTCAAATGAAGCAAGCGTAGGGAAAGGTGCATGGAGTGAAATGGTTCGAATCCCAACACCAACAATTAGCCATTTATTGTGATAAAAATTTTATTGACCACCTTGTATATCACCACGATTTTTATTACCAACCGTGATAAAAGGTGGTACTTTATTTATCTATAAGTGAAATTATTTATCGCATTAGTACATCACAATTGTCTCTCTCAAAACAAAACCCTAACAACTCTTTCACTCGTCTCTCTCAAAACGAAACCCTAACAACTATGTCACTCGTCTCTCTCATATGGAAACCCAAAATGAAACTATAACAACAAATCTTAGCCAATGGGTATTTACAGGTTCGTTTTCTCAATAGTTTTTTTTCAAAATCTGTTTCAATAGCTTGTTTCATGATGTTTGAACTTCCTTTTTGTTTTGACTTGTAGGTATGGATGCTTCTTTCAATAAAGAGGACGAAGCTAAATTTAGCCTTGCAAACTTGTGTCAAAGATCCAAAATGACATCCATTTAAAATATACACAAGTTTGCGGGTCTAAACTTATCTTCATCCTTATTTCATTGTTGACATGCCATTATGGGACATGTATGGTATGTTTCTGAAGCATTTTACGACTTGATATGTTTGTTGTATTGTGTTTGTTGTTTATGATTTTTTATTGATGAATGTTTTTTATTAATGTTATTGTTAATATTTGTTTAAAAGATGAGTTTATTATATATTATATGGTTTGAGTATCTTTCCAATCCCTTACCGAATATATAATTTTTTAAATTGTATTAGAAAATTATGATATGATAGATAAAATTGTATTAGAAAATAAACGTTCAATTCTTGACATGAATTCTTCGCAGTGTTAACTGCATGTTGTTCTTTGACAATTAGAACTTGGTTTAATGATTGTAGATCTTCAACCACCCCTCTTTCCACCTCTAATTTTGTTTTCAAAGTAAATAATATTTTTCAAAAAGAATTAGAGGTGTTGAAGAACTAGGATCATTAAACCAAGTTCTTACAGTTAAAGAACAAAATATGAATAAGGAGTTTAAGAACTCTTGTCTAGCATTGAACATAAACTTATTATTTTAATATAACTTAATTTGTCATGTTATAATGTTCTAGTGCAGATTGAAAGGTTATATGTTTAGTGAGCATTGGAGAAATAAACATAATTTATAATAAACTCAGGTCTATATATCACAACGGTTGTTTAACATAACCTTTGTTAAATATGTTACATTAAAAAATATCACAACGGTTGTTTAAAGTAATTGCTGTGGTAGGCAGCGCACTACATAGATACAATCACGGTCGCACGTCCGTGGTGGAAATCATCATACATACAATCACATTTTACCTTACAATTGTTGGATTAGCGTAGTGGTATCCCTTTTCCAACTATTGTGATATGTGTTTTCCGTCATAGTGCACGAACTGGTAGATCATTTACTCTATCTTCAAGCTCCAATGCAACATTACGATTCTTCTTTGGATCTCTCCAACACTAATTTTAATCATCCGTGAAGTTCAAGTCTCTAATTACCAAAAAAATAATCCAGTTTGAGGTTGAAAAAATTTATAAGCTTTAGAGATTGTGTTGTATCCAATAAAAATTTCAAGTTCAACCCTTTTATGAATTTTTCCTTGCTTAACCTGAGATACATGTAAGTATTATAAACAAAAAAATACTTTAAAAAATCTAGAGAAGGTTTAAAATCAAACCAAACCTCAAATAGAGTTTGATTTTGCAAAACTTGTGTAGGGAGTCTATTTTGAATAAAAACAACAATATTTGCAGCTACAACCCATAACTTCTTTGGAAATTTATTTTGATAAAGCATACACCTAAACATCTCCATGATTGATTTATTTTTACTTTCAATTGATCCATTTTGTTAGGGGAGTGTGAAGGGCAATCAATTGATGCTTGATCCCTGCTTCTTTACAAAATTGTTGAAACTATTTAATACATACTCTTTTCCACTATCTGGCCTTAAAATTTGAATACAAAAACTTACTTTGATTTTCAACATAAGCTTTGAATTTTTCCACAACACCGTTGATACTTATGACTTGTACCTAAGTAAATAAATCCAACATATTATGGTAAAATTGTCAATAAAAGCAATATAATAAAGACTTATATTTAATGATGGTGTTCTTAGTGGTTTAGCTAGTTCATTGTGAATAAGTTTGAGCTTCTAGTTTGACCTCAAACTACTTATAAGAAATGGGTTCCTCTTTTTCTTTCCGAAATGACATGCTTCTGAAGGTGTGAAAAATACACAAGAGGGGGGGGGGGGTCGAATTGTGTTTCGCATTTTCTTTAATTTAGCTTCTGATCAGAGATTCAGAATCAAAAAGGTGTTTATATTCTGTTTTAATTCATTGACAGCGAATATAACAGAAGTAAATAAATAACAATATAAAACACAAAATATTTATCATGGTTCCTCCCTTAAGTGAGAGTACAACAGTCCTCTTGCCTCACAAGATATTTTTATTATAACTACTTTATGATTACAATCGCTTATGCTTCTGCATAAGTCTTTTACACCTACTCAGACCAACTGTCTTAGACTTTATTGCTTAGAGCACATATCTAAGACTTTCCTTGCTCACCTTCTGACCAAGCCACCTGCTTCAAAGGTATTTTGGTTGAGACTTACCCTTGCTTAGATCACATGTCTAAGACTTCTTACTCACGCCCTCTGACTGAGCCATTTGCTCTTCTGGCCATTCAGACTGAG